GTAGAAGCGACAACGCCGCTTCGTCTAAAATATTTTAGGCGTGTAGGTCATATTGACTTATGCATACTGTGGAATTTTCAGGTTGATCCGTTGAATAATTTGCCAGAAACGGCTAATTCACGCTCATCATGAAAAGCCCTGTATAAAGCTTACCATAGTAGTGTTTCGAAGACCTTGTATAATAAATCGATGCGTTTTCAATTTTCAGATTAAAAGGTATTACGCTTTCAAAGTAAAACACGCAGACATATACGACGGTCTAATGCCTAGTAAAGAGAGGAACGTCTTTCTGCAGGACATCCTGACCGTACAACCGAACAGAGATCAGTTAGGCAGGAGAATGTTGATAATAGAACTAGGAAGTGAGTATATTTACAGTGTTGATTCGGTTACTCAATTATGTATGATGTAGAAGTGAGTGTGTACAAATTGATTATCTCGTTAATTGCTTCGATATCAGTTACACTGTAATTAATTAATTTGTAATTAATAAGGAATGTTTTACAACAAAGTTATTTGGAATTGATAAGTTGACGAACTGACGAACTGGTCATATTGTCCTAATTAAAAGTAGATAATAGAACTAACTGATAAAGTCACATTTAGTGTGACAATGTTCAGTTTGGATCCAACAGATCGAATCATCTGCAATAACTGTCACAGCTTTTACCGAATTCTTCCTGAATATTCACGACAGGGATGAATTGGACCGTACTGACCCAATTCGCAACATTGTCTTCTCTCGTTTGAGAAGAAATTATTTCACATAAACATTGGTGCTTTTGACTTTAACGTAATTTTCAGTCTAAAAAATTCGAACAATTTTGTTTCAGTTTTTAAATAAAATACAAACGTGCTTTTTTAAGATTTTCAATCTCCAAAAATCTGTGAAAGAGTCTTCCAAGAAAGTTGAGTTCTCCATTTTAGTTATCCAACCGTTTTTTGTACATCGTGACTATTGGATTGCTNGTCCCCCTCAGATATGATGCACTTGTGCCAGCGATTTTTCCAATCCTCAAAGCACTTTTTGGTATGTCCTTCAGCTCTCTCATCGATTCTTTTTTTTCTCCTCATTCGTCGCAAAACGCCGTCCTTGCATAGGCGTCTTCAATCATGGGAACAGAAAAGAGTCACAGGGGTCAAACCTGGTGAATAAGTTGGCCGAGGAGTTGTGAAAACAGGAAAAAGTTGCAGGGGGCCAAATCTGGTGAATACGGTGGCTGAGGCATGATTACAAACAAACAATGAGTTGTTTTTTCACAATACCGTGATTTGTATTCGTTTTGCTTCTCGCAAGTGGCGAATAACTCCAAAATAGTACTCCTCATTGACCGTACGACCATCTGGCAAGAACTCCTGATGCACTACGCCACGGTAATCGAAGAAAACGGTGCTTTTTTCTCCTTGGCTCTTTTATGCTTCTCCATTGGGACGATTGGACTTTGGTTTCGATATCGCAACCATGTACCCATGATTCTTCATAATATTTTCATTGGTTGTTGTAGCTCATTTAGTTGATACTCATGTAGAATTATGTTTCTAGCACGGAGTAGATGAATTAGTAAGTGAACGTCTAGAATTGAAACAAGCACGAGAGAAAAAGATTGAGAAATGGTGAAATATAAAATGTAAATACCACAAGTCGTGACAGAAATAAAACCATAACCCACATAACGACATATAACCCAATTTAGAATCATGCTACTAAAATATTTTCAATGTGCCGATAAAACCAATAATCAGTCCCCAAACAATATCATTGCAATGACTTCAATTATATTTGTTTGTATACAGAGAAATGGAAATGCAGCGAAGTGTCCTTAGACGAAGTATTCAAAGGCGTCGTTTTGTTCCTAGAGGCGGCCATGTTGGAACCAGAAACTCAGGTTTGCGGCGCCGTCGTGTTTTTGGATATGGAAGGTCTCTCTCTTTCGCAAACGACCAAATTCACGCCAAGTTTCGCTATGAAATTGCTGGAGTGGCTGCAGGTAAGGATATCGTTATTGTAGCTTCATAGACATGTTATAATGCTTTGTACATCATTCGGGAAACAATTCATTGAGAAATATCATTTTTGTTGTCCCACAGGGATCAGTATCGGGACCTCTAGTATTTCTCAAGTATGAAAATTGAATTTCGTAGCTATGTCATCATAAGAAATTAGCACTTTTCATCGAGATATCACATAATAATAGAATGGGGAATGTTCCTCAATTTGGGTTATTACAGCAAATGCAAGTTTGAACAAAATGAAGTCGAGTTTCATTCATGAGTTTTTCAAATTCACTTGGAAAAGTATTCAAATTGATGTTTCAAATGTTGGGTTTTAATTTTTAAAGGGATTCGTTTCTAATTCACATATTGACAACAGCGCCTATATCAAGTTGAAATAATTTATACGTACCTAGATATTCTACTTTAAAAAAGCAAAAGTATCTTTATAAGTACCAAAAATTATTCAGNATTGATTAATCAATTGATTATGAAAAATTAAATTTTTTGAGCATTTTCAGTTATTTTTCGAGAAGTATGACGTGTTCAGCTCTAACAAGAAAATTACACTCATGAATGAAACTTGTATTTTTTTTAATGAGACTTAATTAATATCAAGGAAACAAATTATCAATTTCCGACCTTGTCTTCCGTCGCATCATAGTTACCATTAGATAATAACAGTAAATAGTCGAGGGGTTATCATAGATCTAGGTCGAAAAGATAATGAAATCTTGCGAAAAAAACTATCTTCATCTCCTCAAACTGAAGAAAAACGTTCACTTCGAACTACAAAGACCGCAAAAAAGCATTTGTGTAGTAGAAAAGGCCCAAATAGGAAGAACGTTATATCTATTGATTATAAAATATAATCACAAATAGTTTCTTCGATTGGCATTAAACGTCAATTTCAGTAACATTTATCGATTATAGAAGTGGCATTTTTAATACCTGCTCAATAGAACATACACATACACATAAATGGAACATGTACTGTAAGTACATTTTTATGAAAAGTATAGTTGAAAGTAGATACGTTTAAATTCAGAATTTGATTATGATTTCAACTTTTACATTAATAGTAAATTCAAAACAGAGAACATAACACAGCACATAACATTGAAACATTAAAAAATTTACTAGATTGAAATCTATAATATTGATAGCATATTTATAGCAACGTGCGAACAATTTTCCAACCTTACTTCAGTTGCTTGATCCATTTTGTCCTCTGTAATACCACAGTATACTTATACAGGGTGTAACTGAATAAGTGTAATAGTATAGACCAAAAACCTACAAAATAGTGTCTTTCAAAGGATAAGAGTCATATATAATCCTATACCTAAACTTTTTAAAGTGACTTTTGAATCTCAGACAATTGTGGATTTTTGAATGTCTTCAGGAATTGTGTTATATGTTACAAGTCTATAATGATTGTCCAAAATTGGATTTGGAACTGTCTTCCAACTGATAATAATTTTGTAGAGCAACTTGTGAATGTTTAATGACGGGACAATGAAGTTGCTTTCAAAATTTTTGAAAAATTCAGACCTTTAGTTAGTTTTGAAAAATAGGATTGACTATTCGGTTCATTCCGAACTGTTTGTGAAAGAAATAGTATGTATCAGCGAAGCCTGGGTATATTTGTAAATTCAAAGGTATTTCCATTGGGTTGCCTGTATTTCACTCAATCTGGCAACAGCGCCGTCGACTGTGTCTATAATATACCAGTTGTTTCTTTGAGGAGATTCACATTATTTTGGTACGGTGTACGGTCGTTGCACAAGTCTTACGTGGATCGACACCTGCTATTTAGAAAGTCCGCACTTACGGTTCTGCTACTTTCCGAAATCAGTGCCTTTTGCCCCATTTCTTACGTGATTGTTACTAGATTCGTTTGGAACAATGCCGAAAAGTAAGTTTATTCGTATATTTGTTAGAACTTTAGTTGATATTATATTTCCTGAAACTCAAACTACTTAATATTTATGTAACAAATTAAAATATAACCATGTTCGACAAATATGCCTGTTTGTCTCGTGATGCTTACGCATTTTTCGATAATTTTTTCATCGTTTTACTAGCAACGGGGGTTCAGAAAGATCGAGAATTTTTTAAGGCATTATCGAAAATACTTCATGATGTCTACGATGAATTTGAACTCAACACAAGCATTTTTGCGGTACAATTAAATATTATTATTGTGAAAAGTAAAAATTTTCTGAAGTATGTGCAACTAGGTACTGGATAGCTATAAAATTCAGTGTTATTAATCAAATTACCAACATAATGGCAAGTTTCAGGAATCACATAAAGGTTTTTGAACCGTTTTTCACAGGATGTTGGGGTATTTCCCGTAGATTTGACATTATCAGTCCTCTAACAAGTTTAGATTTCATTCTATGTTAATATGCGTTACGTGACAGTACTATAGAAACGGACATCTAATCGGATTGTTCAACAACAGCACTAATTACCAGTGAAACAATTATGGAATTGTAATGTTTCCAATTGAGGCACATCGTTCAAAAAACATTATATTTCAATTTCTGTCAGTTCTAAATACAGATATTTTAAAATGAATGCTTCAAGACAGAAAACACGCGCGTCTCCCTTACAACTTTATGTTATCAGAAAAAATAAATCTACGGTTATTTGATTTAAGCCCATCCATAGGAATTTTGTTAAAATCGAAAGGGAGATATTTTTTGGAAGAAATTAGTTTCCCACTTCTCCGTCGTCACACAAAAAAATAAAACGTGGAAAAGTTCCTAGAAACAAATAATTTGTTAGCACTTTACTTTTACTAGTGAAAACAATAAATAACGTAGAGTGCCATTCATTCGTTAAGTAATTAACACTTCTATCTTTCATATCATGATGCCAAAAACTTTACTATACCACCAAGACTGGGTGTAACAAAATAAGTGTGAAACATTCAAGGAAGTGATTCCTCATCGAAAAAAAGATAGGATCTTTCATATAAGGAAATTTCATTGGAGCATCTCTTGTTAAGATACAGCCCCTTAAAGGGGGTACATAAAATTTGTATAACAATTGTTTTCACAAGCACTGAAAAAGTTACAATAT